AAGGAGTTAGTCGGGGTCGCCGAAAATACGAATTGGCCAGCGTGCAAGAGAAGGAAACAGGGAAAGAAGAGACCACTAAGGGACGGACGAGTCTGCACCTGAGTATGCTGGCGTGGCCACTCCCGCCGGCCGGGGCCGCGGCAGCTGCCGGGCCGCGGCGCTGGGGCACCCGCGGGCGCGGGCGGGAACCAGGGCGGGTGCTGCGAGTAGGCGAAGCAGTGATGATGCCGTCGAAGTAGCGCACGAGGTGCCAGGTCAACAGGCGAGGGCCGCAGGCCGCCCAGGTGGTGGCGCGTGATAAAGGTATGGCAAATACATGCGCAGTCACCTTGGGGCTGCAACCAGCCAAAAGCTGGGCTTGCGGCGGGGGGCTAGGCGGCGGGGCCAAGCCCAGGTGCCGAACCGCGCGGGGAGGCTGCCAGCAGCGGCAGCTCCGCGAGCGCCGCGGCGGCGCGCAAGGGGGGGAGGGCAAGCGAAAGGAGGGGGTGCGGGGGGGAAGGCGGGGGGGAGGGGCGCCCCGCCTGCGGGGTGATCCCCGCAGGCGGGGCGGCACCGCCGGCGCCGGCGCTGGCGGCCTGGAGGCAGATTGCCCGCGCGTTGCCCGCCGCGGACGCCCGCGCCGCCCTGGAACGCAGGCCGGGGCTGCTGCGGCGCGCCCGGGGCTGCCAGCCAAGGGCCGGGAAAGGACGTGCCAATGGCAAAATTGCGGCCGCGGCCGCAGCGCCGCGCGCTGCCGCGCGCTACCGGGGCGGGCAGCGCAGGCCGAGACTGGGGGCGCCTCATCGGTGCAGGGAAGCGAGAATCAGCTGAGGCTTGGAGGCCACTCGCGGCTGGGGTGGACAGCTCGCGGCCGCGTCGCCAGGCATGTCAAAGCGGAGGCCGAGGCCGAGAGGCCCGCGCTGCTGGGGGGGACAGCGTGGACCAAGTCAAGAGACACTTAATCGGCGCAGGGACAGTTGCGCTGAAGCGGCCGGGGCCGAGGGGCCTCGCTCTGTCGGGCGGGCGGCGCGCGGCCGGGGTGCAAGGGAAGGGGAAGCAGAGGCAGGGGGGCCAGAGCGTGGCACGGTGCCGCGCGCCGCCGGGGTGGTCGGCGCGCGGCGACTAAGTCCGCCGAGCAGCTTAGAGGTCGATGGAACCGATGGGGGGGTGATGCTGGGACACCAGGCACCTCTCGTGGCCGAGCGCACTGGGGCCGGGCATGAGTGGCGCAGGGGGGGGCCCGTGTCTGCGGCGCGGCAGAGGGCGCGGCGGGGTCACGGCGCCGCCGCCGACGGGAACGGCTCGCACAGGCGCGGACCAGGCGCTGGGGTTTCAGAGGAGTGGCAGGCCTGTCGTGTCCGGAAGGCGCTGCTAGGATTGGTTTTTGTTGGGCCGGCGGGGTCCGCGCGCCCCTTGCCTTTTCCGACCGCGTCTTTTCCTCTTGCCTTTGCTTTTTCTCGCCGCGGTTCATTGCGCCGCAACTGCCGCCCCCAGACAGCGCCCCAGTCCACGTGGACACCTCGGGCTGGGCGCCCTTTCCAGGCGATAGCCCCCGGCGTCGCAGAGAGCGCCCCAGCATTCAACGAACATTGCGCCACAGTCCTTCTTCTGCCTGTTGACGACCTCCGGCCATGTCTCCGGAGGTTGGCCCTGTAGTTCCACGCGCGGTGCCAGTTGATCGCCCGAAGAGGCTTGGTGTAAAGCGCGTCTTGGGGGTCGTGGTGGCGAGTATATCCAGGGTCGAGCTGCGGGGGCCCACGTCGGCGGGGCGCTTCTAGGTCGGCGCGGTCTGGGCGCGCAGCGTGGGGGGGGGGCTTCCTGCCCCTCGATAGCCGGCCCCGGGGTCGGCGTGCGCCGTCTCGGCCTGCTGAGGGCGACCGTGGTCTTGCTTTGGAATCCTGGGTGTTTTGCGTGTTCGGCCTTCGTCGGGTTCGTCTCCTGCGCAGCTAGTTCGGTGCGGTGGTCGCTGCGACTGGGAGCTGGGCGCGCTAGACTCCGCCTCTCCAGCGGTTTCGGCGTCCGCGGCCTGATCTTGCTGTGGGGGCTGGGAGGCAGTCTGATGGGCGTGATCGGCGTCGGGGCTGCTGGCCGCTGCCTGAGAGCGACCATGGTCAGGGCAAGGCTCGCGGCCGGGGCTTGCTTGCGAGCCTCGGCCTCTGGCCCCCCCCCCTTCGGTCTCATCGTCGGGCGAGAAATCGACTTCGGAGACTGCGCGCGGGCCTGCGGCTGCCGGGCCTCTCGCTGAGCCGCTGGCTTCCGAGGGGGTGGGTCACGTCGGGGGTCGCGGGCTGAGGCGGAGCTGCGCCCTTCGGCCTGCGGGCCTGTCCCTATCTTGTTGCGAATGGACTCGGCGACGGGGTTGGACGCCGCGCCGGGAGCGCAGTGTTCCAGCGGCGGAGACCTCAGGTTCTGAACCCCATGCGAGGCAGGGGAGCTGATGAGGTGATGCTGCCCGTATGTGTCGGGATCTTTGCCTGGATCTTGAAACAGCCGGGGGCTGTCAACCCGTAAGAAGGAGGCCCAGTGCTCAGCCAGGTAGTCCTTCCTGCTTTCTGAAGAGCGCTCCCTCTGCTTGACAAGGTAGGTTACCAGGTGCGCCGAGGCGGCCCGTTTCTTCCATCTCGCGGACATCCGTTGGGGATTCATGTGTCCGGAATCGTTGGCCCGCACGCGTTGCTAAGTAAGCCGTTGCAGTCGTCCTCTGTCCGCGCCCAGGGCCCCCCCGGAGCGCTACGTGGCCCGCTTGGGCGCGGTCGCCGCTGCTGGAGCTCGCTGGTCCACTGCCGCCAGGTTCTTTCGATGTCGTCGCGCAATGCCCAGGCGCGCTGGGCCATCGCGCGGGCGATGGCGTGGTCCGCCTTTCCTCTCCTTGGGTCAGGGTTGATCGGCGCGCTGGGTTGAAGGGCGCCCATTGACCGAATGGTCTAGCTGGGACATGGAGGTAGCGGCAGATCGGGAAGGTCGGCGAGGATTTCTGCGGCGACGGTTGGGTCTGTCGGGGGTGGGCCGAGGGGCGCGCCCTGGCCCGCGCCCCCCTCGCTAGGCTTGGATTGGGAGCCTGCGAGGGCGTCGGGCTGGATTGGGTCTGACGTCTGGAGCCCGACTCCCCGGGCGCGGGCGCGGGCGCGCCGCCGTCCGCAGTCCGGCGGCGGGGCGCGGTCGGAGGTCTCTCATCGGCTGCTGCTCTGTCTGTCCCGGGGCCCTTCCTCGCTCCTGCTGGAGGCGGGCGTGGCAGGGGGCCCGCCGCGTGATCGAGCGCCGCGGTGCCTGCGATCCTGGAGATCGCTATCGCTACCCGGCGTCCGCCCTTGCTCTCCCCGGAGGAGCGCTGGCTGGCATCTGTGGTCGGGCCCCCGCGAAGGCGTTTCCCCCTGGCCCAGGGGCCGGCGTTGTCTGCCCTCGCGGGACTTGGCCCTTTGCCGGGGCGGGTGGCTGCGCGAGCGGGGGCGGGCCCCTCCTGCGCTGGCAGCGCCGTCGTGATCGGGGTGCTCGGCGCGGCCCTGGATGCGCCGTGCTGACTGCGCGGCGACGTGGGCCCTCTCGGCTTTCTGGGGTGGCTGGCCTGGTCTGGGTCGTGGGCCCGGGTCTATTTGAAAGCCCTGGGCGGGTCAGCGAGCGCCTGCGTCGTCCTGTCCTGTTCTATTGCATCCGCGAGCTAGGTGACGCCCCGCGCGGGAGTGAGAGGCCTCGCCAGCGGCGGATTCTGCGCGGAGGGAAGCGACGCGGGGGGGTCGCGATGGCTTGGGCGAGGCGCCCGGGTAAACTTGGGCGCCGCCCCTGGTTGGCATCTGCGCCGCGTCGGCAGGTCGCGCGTTCCAGCGGTCGACCAGGCAGCGCTTGCAGAGCCAGGTGGCGTTCCAGTGCATGCCCGAGAAAGCGCCGACCCAGTCGCTGAACGGGGGGGGGGCCCTGGCTGGGAGGCGTTGAGTCCGCTGCGCTGGGCCCGAAGATGAACGCGCCCAGCGGCCTTTGCCCGCATTTCCATTCGCACAGCGGTGCGGAGCCAGGGCAACGATCGCATTTTCTTTTCCACTCCTGCGTGGCTGCCTTCCCACCGAACCTGTCGTCTCCGGTGCGTTGGGTTGGCGTGGTTGCGCGTGCCGCGGCTGGGTCATGCGCGCCTTTCTGGGGCAGCAGGAGCTGCCGGAGTGGTGTCTGGGCGTCTGGGCGAGCGACCGGGGGCGCCACTGGCAGCTGCTTCAGCTCCAGGGGCTTGGTTGCAGTCGCCTGCTGTTGGTCTAGGTCGCGTAGTAAGCTGGCATGTTTCAGCCCTGGCAGGGCGGGTTGTCCTCTGATCTCGTGGGTGGGCCTCCAGCAGGGGGCGCAGGTCCACAGGCAGTCGACCTCCCGCTTGTAGAGTCAGGCGATTGGCTGCAAGGGTTCTGCGGACCTCTGCGCTAACCCAGGCACCTCCCTCGGACCCGCGCGGGTGAAAGGATCCCTTCGGCCGCTCGTCGCAGCGGGCCTGGGGCGGCTGTGCAGGCGGCAGAAACTTGGTATCTCCTGTTTGCAAAATCGCGGTGATGGGCACAACTCCAAGGGGGGCCCGGTGGCGGGTGGGTCATGCAGCTCGCGCCCGCTGCCGTTTGCCCAATAGCCGCGCGCTGGATCTTTGTCGGGGTCGGCGAGACGGGGAGGGGTCCAACGTCGGAGCCCGTCAGGTCCTTCGAGAGTGCGCAGACGGCGCGTTTGCGCGCGCTGAGCGCCGACAGATCGGCCGCGGCGGCGGGGTGGCCGAAGACAGCCAGCGCGCTTGCGAAGGGAAAGTCCAGGGCCAGTAGGTGGTTCCAGGTGCTTGCGCCGCGGTGTAATTTGGCGATGTGGCGATGGTGGGCAACCGTGGCAAGGCGCGAGGAGGCTCTGGTGAAGGCCTCGATGTGTCCGTGGAGCCTTCGGAAGTCCTGCCCAGTGAGGCCATGCGCCTGGCCGAAGCAGTCCATCGCTGGCAGTCGCGCCTTATTGAAAGGTTCGCATCGGGCTAAGGCTGCCTCTAGGACGTCGCCGATGTGGCCAGGTTTCGCTCAGGGCGCCATCATGGGCACCCGCATGAGCAGGAGCATCAAGGTCAGCGCGCTGTTGGTCCAAGCTGTGCTGAGCGGCTCATTGTCAGGGTTTTTAAGATCATCCAGCCGTGCGCGGGCGTGGCCCCCTGGGGGCTTGCGTCAGGGCGCGTAGGTGTTCGAAGGTCGGCTGGCCCTGATGGCGGTTGCTCTCGCTGGTGGTATTGCTCCAGGCTTCCAGCGGCTGCCCAGGGGGCCCTGGTCGGACGCTCTCTGAGTCCAACGGCTGCGCATATTGAGTCGCTTGGGCATAAGGGGTCAGCCTGTCTTCGGGGATGCGCCTCGCCTGCTTGCTGCTGGGCTGCAGGCCAGCGAGTTGCAGGAGGCGCGCCCAGGTGGCTGCGTGCACGTAGGTAGTTTGTCGGGTCGATGCCCAGCTCTAAATCGAACAGGTAGCCGTCGTGGCTGACCAGTTTTCGGCAGTGCTCGTACAGGTTCACAGGAGTGTCTCCCTGGCTATACAGGTGGGGGTGGAGGCTATGGACGTAGTAGAGGACTGGGGCCAGCGCTGGGTCCATCAACAGGGCGGTGCCTGTAGCTTGCAGCCCCATGGCCAGCCCAGTCCAAGTGTAGCCGGCTGGCAGAAGGCTGTCATACATGGTCGCGTTCCGCCTCGATCCGCGCCTGCTCTTCTTGGGAGAGGCCTGGCGCCTTCGATCCTACTGGGCCTTGCTGCAGTCGCGCGAGGGAGAAGCCTGGGGTCTCTTGGTCTCTTGGAGCGCCTGTCTGTTGCCTGGGTTGTTGGGGGGCTGGGTCCGTAGGTCGGCCTTGGCCGCCCAGTCCGCCAGATGATACATATGGGATTCTGTGGTGGTACTGCACATGCACCCGTTTATGAGCAGAACGGTTCCCTCCTGTGCGTGGGCGAAGACAACGTTGATCCTGTGCGGATCGCCCATGAAGCCCCATGCCTGTGCCCGTTGGCTCTGGTGGTGCATGGGATAATTAGGTTGGCCTCGTCACCTTGTCCGCCGTCGACTGCGGCGACGCTGATGAGCCCTTTACAGAAAATCGGGTGCGCAGCTCCTCCAAGCCCTGGCACTGAAGCTGCAGTCCGTTAAGCATGGTCGGCGCCTGTCGGAAGACTTGGCCACCAGGTGTTCTCTTTCCTTTTTCCCAGACCCCTTCCTGGCTCGAGGGGGTGGGGGTGGGGTGGGGGGCGCAGGGCCGCGCGATGCGGGTGGTGTGTCCTTGCCGCTACAGCCGCCCTTCTCTTCTGCGCTGCCCTTGTCCTGGTGGTTGGCACGTTGGAAGTTCGGTGCGTCGATCGGCCAGCCTGTCTTGATGAAGACTAGCCAGACATTGTGCCCGCAGAGGGCCAGGGCGCGCTTGCTGTGGCCCAGGAGCTGGTCTTCGACGGCCTTGGCGATGTCGCGCGCCGCTGCGGCTTCCCTCAGGTCGGCAATGCCTTCTGCTGGTCTGACTTCAGTTCGGTTGATTTCTCATGGGCCAGGAGCGCGCGCACCCGATCGCCCCGAGGGGCACCGTGGTCTGGGTCGCGAAAACCTCCGACCCAGATCGGGCGCTGGCCCCCGTGTCCCCCGTAGCGTTGGGCCCCCAGGTCGCCGCGCGCAAGCGGTCTGGCCTCTCGCTACGGGAGTCTTTGTACTACAGGCTTAGGGGCCACGACACGCTGCCCTGGGTGGGGGAACCGCATGCGAGAGCAGCCACTGGGGCCTTCGGTGGAGCTCCCTATGGGGCCACGAAGCGCTGCCCTGGGTGGGGGGGCTGCCTACGAGAGCAGCCACTGGGGCCTTCGGTGGAGCTCCCTATGGGACCACGAAACGCTGCCCTGGGTGGGGGAACCGCATGCGAGAGCAGCCACTGGACCATGAAACGCTGCCCTGGGTGGGGGAACCGCATGCGAGAGCAGCCACAGGGGCCTTCGGTGGAGCTCCCTATGGGGCCACGAAACGCTGCCCTGGGTGGGGGGAACCGCATGCGAGAGCAGCCACTGGGGCCTTCGGTGGAGCTCCCTATGGGCCCGAAACGCTGCCCTGGGTGGGGAACCGAGAGCAGCCAAGCGGGCTGCCCTGGGTGGGGGAACCGCTTGCGAGAGCAGCCACTGGGGCCTTCGGTGGAGCTCCCTATGGGGCCACGAAACGCTGCCCTGGGTGGGGGAACCGCATGCGAGAGCAGCCACTGGGGCCTTCGGTGGAGCTCCCTATGGGGCCACGAAGCACTGCCCTGGGTGGGGGAACCGCATGCGAGAGCAGCCACTGGGGCCTTCGGTGGAGCTCCCTATGGGGCCACGAAGCGCTGCCCTGGGCGGGGGAACCGCATGCGAGAGCAGCCACTGGGGCCTTCGGTGGAGCTCCCTATGGGGCCACGAAACGCTGCCCTGGGCGCGGGAACCGCATGCGAGAGCAGCTACTGGGGCCTTCGGTGGAGCTCCCTATGGGGCCACGAAACGCTGCCCTGGGTGGGGAAACCGCATGCGAGAGCAACCACTGGGGCCTTCGGTGGAGCCCCCTATGGGGCTACGAAGCGTGTGAGGGGTGTGCCGACGGCAGAGGCAAGGAGGAGGAGGAGGAGGGAGGAGGGAGGGGGCAGCGGGAGGAGGAGACGAGGGGCACCGTCTCTTCAAAACGAGGACCCAACACCAGAGGATGGTTGGGAACAACCAAAGTGGGGCGGATCCGGAGTCAGGGTCGCCCCCATCCGCCCGTCTCCCCTAGACAGCCGATCGGGCGGACCCCGTCCCCCGAGGGGCGGGCTCAGTGCCCCTGAAGGCTGCCCCGCGACAGTCCTGGTCCAAGACGACGACCCCGATGCCTACCCCGACGCCGACGCCAACGCCGACGCGGCGACGGCGACGACGACGACGACGACGCCCGCACCGACGCTGACGCCCGCGCCGACGCCGGAGACGGCCCCGACGACGACGCCTACGCCGAACCCGTCGCCAGCGGGCGTCCCGGACGCCCCTCGTCGCCACGGCCAGAAAGCGGAACCCAGACGGCCCTGGTCCCAGACGACGACGCCGACGCCTGCCCCGACGCCGACGCCGACGCCGACGCCGACGACGACGGCGACGACGCCCACGCCGACGCTGACGCCGACGCCGACGCTGGCGCCGGCCCCGACGAAGACGCCGACGCTGACCCGGTCGCCGACCCGCGCCCTTCGTCGCCGCGGCCGGGAAGCGGAGCCCGGCAGCGCAATCAAGAGCAGCGGAACCCAGCCGCGCTATCAAGTCGGGGCGGCGCGCGGCGACCTTCCCCGCAGTCCGCCGGGTCCGCGGGGGCAGCCGGCGACCGGGCCATCGCCGACAATCACCAGAGCGGAGGCCCACCGCCGGCCCTGGAGGCCCTTCGGTCTCACCCAGCCTCGGCGGACGCTGGCGGCTCCAGCGCCGCGGGCTGCCCCATTGCCACTCCGCGAGGGGTGGCGCCTCCGCCGAAGGCACCTGGGCCGCTTCGCCGGACGCCCGCGCCCACTGGGATTCGTTCGCATCGGATTACAGGAAGCAAGACAAGGGCCAGGCGCGCCCCGAGGACGTCCCAACGTACATCCTGCTGGATTTCCTCAACGCGACGGGGGCCCTGACGTCTTGGGTCAGGAGGGCGCAGCAAGCAGGCGATGAACCTAGCGCGGCTCGGAACAGATGTTGCGCTATGCGCGGCGGCAGCGCTCGCGACCCCAGCCGGCGCGAGGCCGCTGTCCTCCGCCGCTTCCCCCGCCAATGCAGGCCCGCGCCTTCCCACGCCGAGCAGGCGCGCCGCCCTGGCCCGCCCTGTCCACCCGG